AGGTAACAGTAATAGTAGTGGCAGTAATAGTGGTAGTAGTGGTGATGGTAGTTATAAAAACCTCCAATTTAAGAACACTATCCAGATATTGACTGAGCCCAAATACTGTACCTAGGTGAGTCTCAAGATGCATTGAACCTCTATGCTGTGCTAGGCATGGGAAATTGATCTCCAGTCAGGCTTACCTGCTCACTTTTTACAAGACAGAAAAGAGAAAGGGATTACAGAGTTAGCATAGAAAGGACAGTTACACAGCTGGGAACAGTTCTCATTTCTTACCTATTTTTTCATTCTCCTGGACCTCAAATACAGTCACTGTAGATGGACACGTAGGTGGATTATCATTAATGTCTTTAACTTTCACATGAATTTTCAGTGGGAATGCAAGTGGTATTCCAAGATCATCCTTTGCAACCACATGAAAAACATACTACAACAGAAAGATCAGAATTAAGACATGACTCTTTCATCACTGTCTTGGAAAGGTAGAGAAGCAGCTATTTCAATTATATTTTATTTACTCCTTACTTTGACTTTACTTAGAACTAGAAATGGAGAAAAAAATAAAATGGGTCAGATTTGTGAGGATATTATCATATCTTTGAGAGCAATAATATACTGTGGTTCAGAACACAGTTTGGGTTTTTTTGTTGTTTTTAGGTAAAATCTTTTCTGCTCTCAGCTACTTATGGGTACAGGACTGAGTTTTGTCTCCTGTGAAACTCTTCTCAGTTTTACTCACTGAATCTTTTTCTTCTCGGTCCAAGGGCTGAGTCACATAAATATCTCCTTTCTGGTCAATTGAAAATGGGAATCTTGGCAGCTTCTCCTTTTCAATTAAGAAATAATGTGCACCTGGCTCATTCCACCGCACCTACAGGGTCCAAAGTCAATTGTGAGGAAAGATACATCTGGACCGAGAAAACTGGAAAGGAAATAAACAATTTTCTGGTTCTTAGTTTCAAATTTCTGACAACCTTGTTTGTATGTCTGTGGTTTCTTATAACTACTAAATTATATTTTTTATTTTCAACCTAAAATAAGCCTTTTTTATTTCTTTTTGCCATTACGTTGCTCAAAAAAAGCAACATAAGGGTATTTTTCGTCTCTAAAGCAATTTTTTGTGAACTCACTAAAGAGTTTGTAGGTTATTCTTTTGAAAGTCTCATTATAAAGGCTGCATATATCATCGATCTAAAAAACAAAATGTACTTTGTAGCTGGCATTATCTGAGGAATAAGCCATGATATATGAAGAGCTTCATGATATATTAAGAGTAAAGAAGAAACTTTAAACTCTTCTCCATGCTGTTATTTAAGTAAGACAAATGATACATAAATAAACCACATTCCCCCCCTAAATATTTAGTCTTAAACACTTTAGGGATAAAAATAATTGCCAACTCTTAGGATTGCTTTGTAAAAACTTGGCAAAATAAATAATGTCAATAGTAAAAACAATCTATTTTCTATAGACAGAGCTTGGCCTCTCTGATATTCTAATACTAATAATAACCCTTATTGAGGGTTTACCACATGCCAGACAAAATTCTAAACACTTTTATGTATTATCTCTTTAAATCCTCAAAAGTCCTATGAGGTTGAGGCTATTGTTATTCCTATAAATGAGGAAACTAGGACACAAAAAGATTAAGTGATTTGCCCAAGCTCTTATAGCTATTTGAAATTTTCATACTAAACTATTCTCTCAGACAAGCTTGGGAAGGGTATCAAGGGAGCATCATTGTGGCTTGCTAGTTATTCAAGCATCGCCCTCTGTCCAAGCCAAAGACCATATTCCTGGGTCTAAGTGAGTACCTCTTCTACCCTAAAAATTCAGTATGAGTTCTCCTCTATTGAAGTGTCCCCCTCCACATTTATTCCTGGATTTCAAGAACCCAAAACACTTTCCCTGGGCCTAGGTATTGGGTATGGCACCCCATAATTTCTTTTCTTTGACAGTCCTGAGAGCAAACAAGTGTATGTGTTCTTTTTAGCATTCATAAATCCTTATGGGGATAACCTCAATAATAAATAGAAAGACTTTAGTAAGGAACTCAAATCTGTAATTCTCATGGTAGTGAGTTCTGACACACCTTCTTAGCTGGCAAAGCAGAATACCACTTGCTTTCTTTTTTTTTTTTTCCTGACAGTGAAGTTCATTAATTCAACATTCAATAAATAAAACTCTTTTAAGTTGTACAATAGATATGATGAGACAGGCTATTCCAGGGCCCTTTAACAACAACAGTGTTACTTTAAGACAATCTTAGGGAAACCACAGATTGGACTCAGAAATATTAATACCTGTCATTACCTTTCATAGATACTACTTCTCAGTTAATCTCCACAACAACCTGGAGAGTTGTTATTATCCCCATTTACTGATGAGAAGTTGGGGCTTAGAGTAGTTAAATGACTTATTAATGATAAACTATTAAAGTAATGGAGCAAGGACATGGTTTTGGTCATCTGCTTCCAAATCCAGTGCTCTCTCACTAACCCACAGATTTCAAGGAACTGCCTGATCTTCCAGAAAAGATTAGATCTCGGCAGAGTCTAGGGTGAATCTCCAGGAGCTAAGGTAGGAGGAGACTCAGGATGAGAGCACCAGCCATGGAGGTAGGAAGGGGGAGCATGTGAACGGAGAGGAGGGCACACAGAGGAGATGCAGTTGGGGGAGATTGGTCTCCAAGAGTAAAAGTTGCCTACTCAACTCTTACTTTTGGCCAGTCCTGTCTGTCCTTTATGCTATGATGGGATGAGTATACTGGATAGAGATTTTTTTCCACAGAATAAGAAGCAGCCTTTCGAACTTCAAATCATATACATGTACATGATGTGTACATCATATACAACCTATTCTAGTGCAGCCGTATCACAGACTACTGATAGGGAACAACAAATATTAGTGGTATCCACTTGGAAGGTGAAGGTGAATAAAATTCTCTTTTAAAGCTCAAATATATATATCAGAATCCAATTTGGTGAAGTCCAGAGTTTACCCATAATAGTAAACTCCAGACACCTGGGGCCAGAGACTTTGTTTATTTAGTTTGCTTTATAATTATTCTATATAAAAATATATCTAATAAATCTGTCAATGAAGAACATGAGAGTGGGCTTCTACAAAGTGAGATCATTTATCTAGTAGGCTCTAGGCATTCCTTGGGCACTACCTGAGTGATTTTGATGGGATGAGGATCAGTTGAGTTTTCTATAATCTCCACAGGTTCTGGCGCTTTCCAAATATTCTCCTTCACTGTAATATCCACAGATGTGCTGTCACTGAGAGAATTCTCATTCTGGCCTCCCATATCCTTCACTGAGACCACCAGATTATAGAAAGTATTCTTAATTGGATCCAATTCCTGAGATCCTATGGAAAGTAGGAGAAAATAGGAAAGGAAATATCTCTGAAGGTGACAGATCTAAGTCCCTTTTTCTGACTCACTCAGTCCTGTGAGTGCATCACCTGACTTACCTTCTGGGGTAAGTGAAATTGCTCCTGTTTTGTTGTTGATCTGAAAGTACATGACATTGTTGATCTTAGGAAGCTGAATGATAATTTGATAAATAAGCTGGCCATTGGGAGTGGCTGGATCATCCAGGTCTGTAGCATTGACAAACATGAAGGGCTTTCCTATTTAACAAAATGTACCCAGAAAAAAAAGATATTAATTGAAACCTAAACCAAACATAGTTACTTTTTCCTTCAAAAGAAAGGGGGCGTTGATATGGTTTCAGATTCCACATTGTAAGAAACCACCACTTGTTGAGTTTTGGTATAGTATCAAAGAATATCCACAGTTATTTAAAAAAGCTATTACAATACTTCTTCCTTTTCCAAGTACATATCTGTGTGAGGCAAGTTTTTCTTGATATGCTTCAACCAAAACAGTATATGGCAACAGAATGAATGTAGAAACAGACATGAGAATCTAATTGTTTTCAAGTAATGCAAACATCAAAGAGACCTGCAAAGATTAAAAAATGCCATTCTTCTTAATAATTCTTTTTGTATTTGAAAATATAATTATTTTTCATTAAAATATGCATTTTTAAATAAATTAATAAATATCCTGAAGTTTCTCAGTTTTAATCTTTAATATGATAAATACTGGTAGATATAACCAGTGATGTACTGAAGCCAGCTCAGGAGGGCCATTGTTGAATTTCCAGGTTTGTGAGCTAATTAACACCATTGGCAACTCAAAATAGGCCATGGTGGAAGTATTTTTACCACAGAATTAGGTAAATGCTACAAGTAGGGTTTTTTCCCATAGAGAGATAGCTATTAAACGGTTACCAGCATCCCTCTGGACATACTCCACATGTAACAATATTAGATATGTAAAAAAGTTCTTTGGAATCCTTAATATTTTTTAAGAGAATACAGGAGCCCTGAGACCAAAAAGTTTGAGAACCACTAATCTAAAATATCCTATTGATGAAAAGAGAAAGGGGAAGACCTGGAAGATTTTTATTCAGCAGAGCTTCGTAATGAGTCTTTGGTATGCAATTTCAGGGGCAGAGACAGTGAAATTAATCCATTTAATAAGGTGAAAGGAATATTTTTCCTAATTTATTAGAAGTGAGCATTAAAGAATGAGAGATAGAAAAGATTAAATAGCATAGAGGAAAACTTGACTGTTAGTTGATGGAAATGGCCAAGATTGTTTCTGAGAATTCAGAAGTCTAATATCCGTGTTTATTTTGTGCACTGTTATGATATAATTCTCCTTCACCTACACAAATCTTTAATAAAGCCTGTGGCACACATCTATGCCTTGATGAGGAGCTTTTGTGGAAATGAAAGGTAGAAGCACAGTGAATGGATGAGTCACAGCTACGGTTGGAAGTAAGAAAAGAAAAAGAACTGGGAGCAAGGGTGATCATGAGAATGTAGATTCCTGGGAAGATGTGGGAGAGCGAGTTTGTTTTTCCAGAGTGTCTAAAGTGTTATAGAGCTCTAAAGTGTTCTAAAGCTCACCCTAGAATAGTGGTTCTCAACTGGGGGTGACTTTACCTCCCAGGGAACATTTGGCAATGTCCAAAGTTACAATTTTGGATGGTGAGGGATGGTGTTGCTACTGGCATCTGGTGAATAGATGTCAGGGATGCTGCTGAACATCCTAGAATGCACAGAACAGCACCTGACAAAAGAAGAATTATCAGGCCCAAGACATCAATGGTGCAAAGTTGAGAAATCATGCCCTAGAGCAACAGGGATAATAAAACAACTCCTTGAGGATTGCTATGAAATTTTAATAAGATAGTGTTTAATGAGTGATAGCTGCAGTTGTTAGCCATGCAAATCTGCCCCTTCTGCCTGAAACTCTTCCATCTTTCCATAAATATCTCCAGGCTCCTGGCTATTACCTGGGCGAGAATTTTGCCTTACTGAGCCTTCGTACTTTGACTGGAGAAATGTGGGTCGATTGTCATTGATATCTTTCACTTCTATGGTGATGGGGACTGGGCCTTCCACTATAGTTCCATGAACATCCAGGGCTGAGACCTTGTGTTGAAATGAAAAGGAAAACACGTTGGTGAGTTTGGACTTCATATCACACAACAAAATTCACTTGAAGGAAATTAGAGTTCAAAGAACAAATAATCTGGTGACTACAAGAGAGTAAGAAACTTATAAAAACCTAAATTGGGAGCTGCTAAAATAGAGGCCCTATAAGTTAAACCTGGCTAATTATGACTGTATTTTTCTATCAGTGGGGTATGCTGAACACTGCATATGCTTCTTTTCAAAATAGCTGGAGTCAGTGAAATAAGAAAGCTTTTACCCTTGAGCCTATGGAAGTGTCATGTCCTCTTACAGAGGCATTTTAGTGGTCAACATACAGATTCATTAGAAGTTACCAAACAGAAAGGTTTTTCCTTGTTCTTTTTCCTGCAATTAGCTCTCATCCATTATTGTATTCAGATACCAACAATTAAAACTAAGGGGAAAGAAGGGGAGAAGAGTCTCTCTAGTTAGCCTCTGACCATTGGTTGTATTTGCTTCTTGCAAGGTCTCCATCCCAGCACTGATGCTGCCTTCTTTGTGGGTCCAGAGCCCACACAACAGCCATAGACATATACCAGTGATATATCAGAGCATTGTTGGCTTGGTTTTGATCCAGTTGCCTGGACACAGCCATACTTGGACAAGTAATGCCATCTGAGGGCCTTAACAATGTAAATTGGGTTACTCTGGTCAAAAAGCTTAAGGAAGAAGGGATTTTTGCTATAAGCCTCTGTAGTTGGTAAAAAAAAAAAAAAAAGAAAAGAAAAGAAAAAAGAAAAAAAGAAAGAAAAGAAAAAGAAATAGACAAATGAGGTTTTCAATGTATGCAATTAATGTCGGGAGAGCCCTAATGGATACTCTGCAAGGGATGAAGAAACCAGTGACACTTCCAGCACAAAGGGGGCTCATCAAGGTTGTAGTTAGATTCCTTTTTCTGGTTTCAATTCACCTGGAGTTTGTGAACAGCTCTTGTTTCCCTGTCCAGAGATCTGTTATGATACAGAAGTCCATCTGGTTGTATCTGAAATATTCCGTCTGTTTCCCCAGTTAGTTTGAAAGTCACTGCAGGAGAACTGGCCTTAAACTGGGAAAAAGCAAAGTTAGATGAGGTTGTAAGAAAAAAACAGTGTTGTAGAATTTGTAGAAAGTCACCAATTTTAGGTAACATTTTCATCTGTACAATCACAAAACAAGTTCTGAGCTTTTAAAGTAATACATTCTAAAAGTCTGCTTGACTATTAACTATTTAACATTCAAAATACATTTCCTTCAAGAAACAATGGATGATATATTTTAATATATTGACAAAAGGTCAATTGATGCTTTAAATTGTAACAAGTTAGGTGAGATTTTGCTGGGAATATCTGAAAGCTATGACATTACTATCTTCTAAGAAAATTAAAAAGGGTAGCTTTATTGCTAGAATAAAAATTTATCATTTAGTACTACTAAAAATTGTGTCAAAGATTAAGAGATATTTTAATATTAAGGAAAACGATTTAAAAGTAACTTTCACTTGATAGGATTCTATATGAAATCTCTTAATACTTGTTCAGAAATGAAGAAAATATCAACTTAGACAAAGTATAACACTTTTTAAACCACAAGAATAGAAAATTTACATAAAATAAAGACATAAAAATTGTTCAACCTCATTAATAATTTTAGTGTATTTTATATATTTTTATTAACAAATTAAAAATCAATAATGGTCATGTTTCAGGATGTTGTAAAGGATGTAAAGAAACATATATTATTGATGCAAATGTAAATTAACACAATCCTTTTGGAATTAACTGAGGCATAAAATGTTTGTAGCTTTTGATAGAAAATGTTACTAAACAGAATTTATACTAAAGAAATATTTTTAAACAGTAAACTACACACTTGTAGTACAAGTAGCCTTATTTACAATACTGGTAAAGTTGAAAACATCTAAATAGTCAAAAAGAAAGATGATGAAATTAATATAGCATATAAACTTGATAGAATTTTAATTATTAAAATGCTCATTCTACATATCATAAAGCAACATAAGAAACAATGTAATGAAGTAAAATAATCAAAGGAGAATGTAAGAGCAAATCTAGACTATGATTGTAATAGTACCAAAAGTATTAAAATTGGTGGGTAAGAAATGGAATTTTATAAAGTAAGTTTGACATTTTAAGTGGGTAGGGCTGTAGATGAAGAGTTTTTATGATTGTTTGCTTATTGATATTATGTTGTTTATGTAATAAATTAAAGTGGTATTGAATGTTTTAAGTTAAAAGTCTTGTATATAAGTGGGAAAAGTAGAATAAGGATCTACAAAAGATATTTCCCTCCATAAAAGCAATGAGAAACTGGCAAAAATTGTAAATATCAACTTTTTCAGAATTAAATGTTTGTAAAATCCAAGGAGTATTTATTTAAGACCATGACTATTAGTAAGAACTAAGCATTGTGGTGATTTTGATTTGCTCTAATTCCATTGACCTTTCTCAAAATATGCAGTAGCCTTGAAAATCAATAGCCTCACAACCATAGCACTATGGAGACAAAGGAGTTTGGAGTTTCTGAAATGCCCCATCCCCAGAAAACTGTTATTATCTCATCTATTTCAAAGTTCCCTGGAAACACTAATTAACAGGGCTTGTCTTTTTGGACCTAAGTCAGAAGTCATTCACTGCAAATAATTTTTCTCCTGAAGAATTTGTTGTAAATCATCATTATCAATTGTTTAACATTGCAGCTCTCTAAGGCAGGGATAAAAGTTGGCGCAACAGAAGCTGACCAAAAAAAACATAAAATGTAAAGTTGGGGAATGAGATGTCCCTAGGGGGCATTGAAAATGTCCAATATATTCCTGGGAGTCTAGAAAACCATTCTCATGAGTAGAGCTGCACATATGTCCAGAGAAGACTTGAGAAGACCTTAATCTCTCGCCTCTGGCTGGTCTTGAGGCTCTGTACAAGCAAGAAGCGAAGCCCAAGATAGAGTTTTAAATTGCTTGCCACATCCCTAAATGTGTGCCCAACATGCACACATAACCCCTTGGCAAAGGCTGGAAGACTTATTGGTTCAAGGCTTTCAAGAAAGTCTCAGTTCAATCATTAGCTGAACACTAAACTAATGGAGCAGAGACTTGATTGTCATGCATGAAAAAGAATAAAGACTTTACAGAATTAGTTCAAGAAAGTCATTAAACAAACAGCAACAACAACACACCCTTGGAAGAGGAGGGATTATGATTTCTAGAGCTGCTGCATCCTATTATTTAACCCATTCCCTGTTTGCCCTGAGAATACTCACTGGCGGCACTTGCAGCTGCTGTGTTTACCCTGAGATAACACGCTTATTACAGTACTAATCTTACCCCCAAAGTTTGCCATGAAATATCTTGTTTTTATTATTATTTTCACATATCTCTAGCATATCTAATCTTTGGAAACAAATAACATTATTCTATTTATAGCATTCTGTTTTTAGTATTGGTATTTCCATTTACAAAATATAGTAATTCTCAATAGCTGAAAATGTCAAATCCTAGATGGTCCACTTTGTGTTGTCTCATGCTTTGAAAATTACCACACCAAAAAAAAAATGATTAAATACTGATCATAATATATATTATATCATATAATCCTAATACGTTACATTAGGATTAGAGACAAGTTCTATTTAGAAATAACTCCAAGAACAGTTTTTATATTTTATTTTCACATTGAAAACCAGTCGGATTTTTTTTCAGCCTCAAAGAGCATGTTCATGTAAAATTAAACTAATGCTGGCAATGAGCTTCACTTTTTTTCTAAACAGGAAATGAGATAAAATGTTCAATTTTCAACAAATGATTATGAGACATGCAAATAAAAATAAAGACCCATACACAAGAAAAAAAATAAGCAGTCACTAGAAACTGCCCCTGAGGAAGCCTAGATGTTAGATTACTAGATAAAAACTTCAAATTATCTATTTTAAATAAGTTTGAAAACTAAAGGACACTACTTCTAAATAAATTTGAAAAGTAAAGTATGAGTACATTGTCTCACCAAATAGAGAATATCAATAAAGACATAGAAATGATTTTTAAAAAATAGAAATTCTGATGTTGACAAATATAATAACTAAAATTAAAAATATATATTAAAAAGGGCTCAATGATAGATCTGAACTAGCAGAAGAAAAAATTAATGAGCTTAAAAGAGATCAGTTGAGATTATCCACCCTGAAGAAAAAAGAAGAATGAAGAAATATTATTAATAGAGTTCTAGAGACAATGGAACATCATCAATCAAACATATGCATAATGGGAGTC